TATTTTCACACACTGAGAATGAATGACTTGAGTGTGAACAGTTAAAAACAAAATTCAAAAAAATGCTTCAGTCTTGAAGCCCTCAACCTGTCCAGTTTTGTGATCTTTGGCACCTTTGACTCCATAGAAGATTTTGAATATCAGGCTGCTTTAGCCACGATGTGAGAACATTTCCATGAAGATGTGTTAATTAGTTGTAGAGGTGACTAACCACTGCTGAGCAATTGCATTAGGCAAGGCAAACAAATGGAATACAGAGAGCAGTCATTCTTCGAGATGTTCACTGTTGCTTCACACCCAGAAGACAAGGGCTGGACGGCACTCTGCCCAGGGACATCTCTCTTTTTCTTGATGCACCTGGGAATTCTTGCTGAGTGATTTTTCTCACAAAGAGCTCAGGATACTCAACTCACTCATACATATTACAAAATCTAGAAATGCCAAACTCTTAAATTAGCAGAGACTGACATTCTGTTGCATAAATTTCTATGGGCCACATCATGAATTTATGAGTACCTACTTGTAGAGGGGTCCCTGTCTGAGTGAGTCTCAGTGATCCCTCTCTTCTTAGATAAGAGACCCTTTCAGGTCTCTGGTGACCATATTTGTATGTGTGTAGCTTTCCTTCCAGCCCTTAATAAATAAGTTGGGGAGTGTTAGCACCTAATCCAAGTTGAGCCAATGAAATCTTCTTGAGGATTCAAAATTTGGAAAAGATAGGTCCCAAGAAGGAAGTTGTTTCACTAATGTCAGTGCTCTACAGAGAAAGTCAGGCACTTCCTGCAGCTCAAGTTCCAAGTTTCGTCTCTTTCTGTGTTGTGATGACTCAACTCTCTTTGGTATCTTAATGGGATTTGGGGCAGGAGAAGCGAATTCACACAGGCGATCATTGTTGAAAAATCATCAGGTCATGGGCAAGCTTCTGCTGTGATGTGCAGTTTCCCAAGGTGATATAAATTAAATTTCTAATATTTATTGATTGCCGAATAGATCGATCATGATAGATAGCAACAGTCAATTCAGTTATGCTTTCCAAAAGCTGTTTTTTTCAGCACTCACAGCTGTAGTACCCAAATACCTGAGACACGTTATTCATTTTACAGACAATGTTTTGTTGACTTTTCAAATTGCTTTGTAAAAACTCCAGAGCCTTATACTGTGTGAATCAGTGATTCAGCATGTCCTGCTTTTCATATGATGTGGTTAACTAACCAGATGACATGTGTCTAAAAATGATGTCAATTAAATGAGGAAAGCTGACCAGTGGAGCACAAATGATGTTATCAAGTATCCCAAAAGCTCTTTAACAGTTCCACACATATCTTATTTCAATTTTATTTTTAAATATTGTAATTATTTTTAAACTATAAGCATGTACACTGTAATGTGTCCTATGCCACTTTCGGTACGCGGGCCTCTCACTGTTGTGGCCTCTCCCGTTGCGGAGCACAGGCTCCGGACGCGCAGGCTCAGCGGCCATGGCTCATGGGCCCAGCCACTCCGCGGCATGTGGGATCCTCCCGGACCGGGGCACGAACCCGTGTACCCTGCATCGGCAGGCGGACTCTCAACCACTGCACCACCAGGGAAGCCCGCCACATTTTTTTTTAACATCTTTATTGGGGTATAATTGCTTTACAATGGTGTGTTAGTTTCTGCTTTATAACAAAGTGAATCAGCTATATGCATACGTATATCGCCATATCTCCTCCCTCTTACGTCTCCTCCCACCCTCCCTATCCCACCCCTCTAGGTGGTCACAAAGCACTGAGCTGATCTCCCTGTGCTATGCGGCTGCTTCCCACTAGCTAGCTATCTTACATTTGGTAGTGTATATATGTCCACGCCACTCTCTCACTTCATCCCAGCCTACCCTTCCCCCTCCCCGTGTCCTCAAGTCCATTCTCTATGTCTGCGTCTTTATTCCTGTCCTGCCCCTAGGTTCTTCAGAACCTTTTTTTTTAGATTCCATATATATGTGTTAGCATACGGTATTTGTTTTTCTCCTTCTGACGAGGTAGCTGGACCTAGAGCCTACGTCACATTTTAATGCATTCAAGACCATCATAATATTAACTTGTGCTGCCAGGTTAGCTTATGCAGAGTAAGCATTAGCTTATGCAGAAGCTTTATCCAAGTAAAGCTTCCTTTTAATCCACTGCTAAGTACCTACTAGAGACCAACCACCTATTAATGTATCTGAACCATCTGCAAAGGTGCCATTGATAATAGCAGCAGTTACAAAGCAGACGGGTAATATTCCCCCCTAATTCAGGGTAGCCCATGCCTGGTCATGTAAGATTTTAGAAGCAAGTGTTTCCATGTTTGTTAGGATTTTCTCAATACCATACAAATAAAATATAACACAAAAATAATTGGTGCTGAGGGAGATTTAAGACCATAATTCTCATCATAATTCCTGCTTTCAAATGTGTGTGCTCATTAAAATGGATGTCAACATTTGAACTTATATGGCAAATCTATATTGACAACATATGGCTTTCACTTATTTCATTTGTGTTTATATGTTGAGGTTCTCTATAAGATTTCATTTTATTACAGTTTTCCCCAGAGGAAAAATATTTGAAAGCACCATTTTAGCAGTGTTTTTCAACCATAGCACTACTGACATTTTGGAACAGATAATTCTTAATTGTTGGGTGCTGTCCCGGGCACTGTAGTATGTTTAGCAGCATCCCTGGCCTCCACCCACTAGATGCCCAGTATCCACCTTCCACCCCCAGCCTGACGATCAAAACTGTCTCCAGATGTCAAATGTCCCCTGTTGGTAAAAATTATCCCTGGTTGAAAAGAATTAGCTACTTCATAAGATCATAAGGATGGCCACACTTCAGTAATTCCTAGAGAATATTCACATCTTCACACTTTTTTATTGATAAGCAGCTATTAAAGAATATAGTAGAGAGATGATGTTTTTAAGCATTTTTAAATATTTATCGTGTTGTCTCATTGAGTATGTTTGAAACACTTTGCAGACCATAAAAAGAATGTGGTGGAATTGTAATCCTTCTATGTCCTAAATTCTGGAATGCAGCCAGTCTTCAAAGTTTTTGTAAAACACTGAAAAATTTTTTTAATTAAACTTTAAAATTCCTTTTGCTCTTGCTTAATGCTCAGATCAATCTGATTAATTGACCAGCATCCTGTCTAAGAAAGGCTTCAAAGAGAATCTTCACTTTTATCTTTCATAAAGAAAGCCAAAGAGAAATTGGGAAGGTCTAGGGTTATTCCTAGTAATGTTTTTAGGAAGAAGGTGCCTGTCAGGTTAACACAAATGACCAAAACAACAACTTTCCTTGACAGCCTCAAAAAACAAAGGTATGAAAAGAACTTTGTCAAATTTACATACACTGTTGATGAGGGTGTAAACTGGCTCAACCTCTATGAACAGCAATGTGGCAAAATTTAAAATGCATATACCTTTTTTCTATCAACAATTCCCTTTCTAGAAATAACCAGTCAACGTAGTCAGATATAGTAGAGTGTACCAGTATATTCAGAGCATCTTTATTTGTAAAAGTAAAAGATATGAAACAACATAAATGCCCCCTATAGGGTGATTAGGAAAATAAATTATGGCATTTCCGTACAACTCAATACTCTGTAGTAATTTTTTTTTTACAAATAGCTTATTATTTACTAATATAGAACCAAATCCAAGATGCACCGTCAATGAAAACAAGCTAGGTTCAGAAGAGGGTATGCGGTAGTCTTCTTAAGAAGTTCACCCAGGCTTCCCTGGTGGCGCGGTGGTTGGAGTCTGCCTGCCGATGCAGCGGACATGGGTTCGTGCCCCGGTCCGGGAGGATCCCACATGCCGCGGAGCGGCTGGACCCGTGAGCCATGGCCGCTGAGCCTGCGCTTCTGGAGCCTGTGTTCCGCGGCGGGGGAGGCCACAGCAGTGAGAGGCCCGCGTACCGCAAAAAAAAAAAAAGTTCACCCATAAGAAGATATAACTGGGCTTCTATTTATATTCAGAGTATGTATGGAAATTTTCCAATGTTTTAGCTCCTGGGGCCTAAGGTAGAAAGGAAGCTTATTATTAAATTTGAATTTTGAATTTTTTAAATTGTGATTATACATTACTTTGTGAACAGGGACCGTGTAAATAGTTTTTTTAAGAAAAGTATTTTGTCAATTCCAGCGTGATATCAAATGTTTGTATGAGTGGACGAGCCATATGAATTTAAGTTACTCTAAGACACCACAGTCCAGAAAACCAGCCCAGGCACGAGAAAACGGAGGGATAGTGGAAACCCAGGTAGGATATCTAGAGTCAGGATCCTTGGGTTTGCATAGATACATAAGCTAAACTGGAGTTGGTAAATATGGTGGAAACACTGATCCTAGGATGATGTTTCTTTATTGGTTACATGCTATCTACTGAATATAGGTAGACCAGGGTCTCAGAGGTGAATCTGACAAATCTCCCTCATAGTGGGGAGTGTAAGGCATCAAAAGCCATGAAGGATGAATTTTGCTGTTGTTGTTGCTTTTGTTGTTTTATCATTAGGTTGTAGCAGGAGAGGAAGGTGGACTTTGACACATAACATAGATGTTCTCCTCATAAAACCAGACTTGCTGCAGATACCGGCAAAGACATTGCTAGGAGGCTAGTAAATAAAGGAAGGGCCTGGGATAATAATAGCTATAATAATAGCTACTATTTGTGAGACACTTACTAAGTATGAAGCACTGGGCTCAGGGCTTTGCATATATTATCTCTTTTAATCCTCACAGCCATTCTATGCAGTCGGTGTTTTGATTGATAAGGGGACTGAGACTCCTGGAGATAAATTAACTAGCTCAGCCTCACACTGCTAGTGAGCAGCAAAGAAAGACTCAAATTCAATCCGCCTACTTTCAGAATTTTTAATCACAAAATTTTGATGCCAACTGGTAGGCATGATTCAGGGCTGAGAAGCCTGGAAATGAAAGTCATCGTCATTATGATGTTGTCCTTTCTCTCACCCTGACAGGATCACAACCACAGCTGCGTGTATGATGGATCTACGAAGATACCCTCTGGATGAACAAAACTGCACCCTGGAGATTGAAAGTTGTGAGTTACTTGGACAGGGGAACAAAAAAGAGGGAGGTTTGCTTGACCCAATTAAATTCCACCTTGTACTGAGTAATTGATACCAGGATATTTTTAGCTACACTACCCTGCCAACTTTTCAAAGGGTTCACAGTAACACTTTCCTCTGTATTGGAGGATTAAGGTTCATTTCAATGCAATTATCTTTTTGAACCATTAAGGAAAGTCCACTTATTTTAGCTGGACTATTTATAAACTCATGCCTTCTCCTCAGAATCAAATTTCTCCTAAGACCTTCCAATACCCAAGCTACGTTAATAAGAGAGCAAAAATAATTCAATGTGAAAAGACTTCGTGAGATTGTTTTTGGCTCTATGTCTGTCTGCCTGAAGGACTGTAAATTGTTGTCTTTTAGAAAAACACTATGGTAAAGTCTTGTGTGCAATTGTCTTTCTTCATGGGAAGAACAAGATGATATGATGGTATTCATGAGGCTTGTGGTTTAGCTTTGTCCTCTTGAGTTGTTTTTTCATTGATTGCTTTCTTAACAATTAGAATATTTTAGTCACTAAGTTTTAATCTGATTGATTATCTTGGTTTCATTGTTTCTCAACCATCAATAGGCAGACATTTGATCGCATTTATTGTGAATACCAGGCCAAGTCTATTTCCTGGTTTTCAGGGGTACAGAAAGTGCAATAGGTAATTAAGAGCATTGCAATACCATTTAATGTAATGTGAGAATAGACATAGTTAGATCATTTAAAATGCTTTCCAGATCTAAACATCAAAATGGTAAAGAAAAATGGGAAAATTCCAGGTGATCCTCTATATTATTAAACAATAAATGTATTCCCCATTGTCTGATTATTAAGTAATTACATTCATTTTCTAGTTTTACTGAATACAGACATAGAAATAGATAAAGATGCTTATGTAGATATATAGATTCAGACCTAGACATTAATCTAGTACCACTAGAACCTGGAATTCATATTATATAAATAGGTTGGCTGAAAGTTATTAATGTATGAAAGTATTAATGGTGACTTTTGGTTTAAACGCCAATGACAACCAAATTCAAACTATAGGAATGAAATATAAACCCAGTCATTTATTACTGGTTAACAATATTTTATAAATAAGACAGAACTTCATCTAAGCAAGTAAATCATTAGCTTTTGAAACTGACATGGAAAGAGAAGGATGCTCATTCACATAAGTTACCTTTTACCCTTGACCTCTCTTCCACTGATTGTGATTTTTTACCTTTGCTTATGCCGGAAGGATATGACAGTCTGTCAAAATTCCAAGATCTTATGTTTACATCATTCACTTGAAGAATGAATTTTGATGAGTACTTGAATTGATTCTGTGCATAAATTACAAGTGCTAAAATTATCAACATTTTCTCCCAAAATGCATATTTTATTTTATAATGCATATTGAGTCTTCCTATTATTATAGGTTTACATTTTTCTTTAAAAAGGCAATTTTCTTTATTCATGTTAGAAAATAGATGACTTTTAGGTCCATTTATCATATCATACAATGACCAAAACTACAAATGAGGCAAAATTAAACATAACTTTTGCGGAGCAGGGATGAGGGGCGCCAAAACAATCAGAGAGTCCAAAGTCATCATAAGATATGGTGTCAGGCGATAAGTAGTGACCCAGTCATATGATAATCATTGAGGCAATTCAGTAAGATGCAAATCAGTTAACTGGGCAGATGGATGAGGCATGGTAACTGGGACCCTAAGATCAGTTAATATATAGGACTGTAGGCAGACAGTGACCATCATAAAGTGATCCAACAGTAGATCACAGAACTCTAGTCCCTAAAGATGTTTACCTAAAGCAAAGCAGAAACTCAGGCCTGCAAGAATTTGTGTATTGAGAACTCGGGGGAAACTCGGGGGAACTCGGGGGAAAGGGAAAAAGGGAAAAAACAGGGAACTGCCTTCTATTTGCCAGACAAAAGCTAGGCATTAATATGACACCTCTGTAACAGAAGTCTTTCTAACATTTGAGAGATGATGTATCTGAGGCTCAGAGAAGTAAAATAACTTACCCAGGGCAACAAGGCAAGGATAGTGGTAAAGTGAGGATTCAAGCCCAGGTAATATATTCTCTATAATAGAATCCTGTAATCAGCTGCTGAGCAAGGAAGCAGAACGTCAATGATTAGAAGTATAGCACCATTCAGAACAACTCCCAGCTAGATTGAGGATGCTGAATCAACCAAAGGACTGGTCTGTATTTCCTAAAATTATCCCCAGTAAAGGTTAGAGTCGATCCCAGAAGCTGAAGCAGAATTTAGCTCTTAGGGCAAGGGTCAAATGATTGCAACTGTGGATAAAGGGTAGTCTGTGGATGCAGGAAATCAAGTAGTCCTGATTCCATTGACGTTACCAAAAAAAAAAATTTTAAGCCTCAAATGACAACATTGCTTAGCTCTAATACTTTCCTTATGATGTATCCCTTCTTAACAATAGATAAACCAATGTAAAGAGATCTTAAATCTTAAGGGTAATAACTTCAAATGACAAAGTAATATATGGCAATTATATGGAGTCCAAATGAGCTTTGCTTATTCCTGCCTAAGTACATAATCGATATGCTGCTAAGTGTTAATAAATACTGAATCTGTTATCCATCTATTTTTTAACTCTTCAAGAAAAAACATGTGTTACATTATTTGCTGAAACAGATCTCCCTGAATTGCCATTTTATGAAGACCATAACTGAGTTTTAAAGTGATTACAAATGAGTGGTTCTAGTGTCAGTTGGGGAAAAGGAATGATAAAGTAGACATTTCACCAATATAAGATTGAACCAATCATACTTTTGTAACCAATATAGTAGAAACTTTACCTACCTTGCAAAATTTACTCGTGTGTATTCTCTTCCATTACAATCCCAAAGATGGGGAAATGTTTTCCTTGGTCAGGTCCTTTGAGAAATATTAAAGATCTTTTGCCTTTCTTTAACGTCATCTAATCTAGTAAAATTAGGAAGGCCATAAAGCCTTATTAAATTGAAAATTTCCTTGAACTTGGAGCACATTAATAGCTTCATAGCCCTGGGATGCTATAAATTGAGTTAATGGCACATGGAAAAAAATCAATCAAGGAATTTAGTATTAAGAGGATTTGGAATTTGAAATCAATAAAGCTATCACATAAAGGTTTGATAGCCACAAGCCTCATGGAAATATAGAAAGGCTTTGGGACAACAATCATGAAGGAGTCTAATGCCTCTTCCTGTATATTTTCTGCAGCAACTATTGAAAAAAATCTCAACCCTAATCTTACCCTCACTGTCAGCAGATAGTGCCACCTCTCAGTACCTCCCCCACCCCCCCAAAAAAATAGAATCCATTTCGGCTCTGAAATCTCTCAGCAGTCTCACCCATCTTCTTCTAATGCCCTTATATCCTCACCATTCTAAGTTAGCCCCCTGTATTTAAGAGGAAGGGGTGCTCCTCTTCCTTTTATAAGCTGACCCTGACCCCCTTCTTCCTCCTCTGGTAATTGATTTTCTCAAATTCACATACACCTACACCCCTGATATTTCAGATCCTCAGCCTCACCCTCTCTGCTACCTCTTTTTTCACAGCCTAAAAACAAGCTGAAAACTCCCCTCGTCACAAAACACCTCTACTCTACCCTCCCACCTCCCCTTCAGCTTTTCCTAATCTCTCTACTTCCTTTTTCTCAAAACTACTTGAGATAATGGTATATATCTGCTGTCTGTGGCCTCAACTTCCCCTCAACCCACTGTGATTTGGACCCTGCCTACCCATCTCCCAAGTCCACTGACACTGTTCTCAGAAAGCTCACGAAGGATCTCTCTTTACATAACATCTTTATTCCAACGATCTCCAGATGTATAGCTCCAGCTCAGATCTCTTTTAAGCTCCAGATTGATGTACATCGCACTTTTCTTGGCATATCTACTTTGATGTTTCAAAAGCATCTTAAACTTAATTTTCTCAAAACTTATTATCAATTTTTCCCTCACAAGTGAGTTTCCTTTCCAGCTTCCTTAATCTCACTATCCAGCCAGAATCCTAGGATTCTTCCTCTTCCTCACCCTCCTCCCATCCAATCTATTGTCAAGTACCATCCATTCTACTTGCCAGATATTTAGCAAAGCCCTTCACTTCTCTCCAGCCCACTGCCACCAATCTTCTCCAAACCACCATGACTTCTTGCCTGAATCATTGTAGCAGTCTTGCTATTGGTCCTCTTATTTTTACCCTTGACTCCCTCCAACTTATTTTCTACCCAGTAGCCAGAGTCGTCTTTGCAAGAGGGCAATTGGATCATATTATTCTGTGCTTTAAAATACTCAAAGACTTCTCATTGCACCAGGAAAATTCTCCACACTTCCTAATTTGACTTACAAGCTTCTGAGTGACTTCCTCAATATCTCCATTCTCATCTGAAACCATCTTTCCCTTGCTTACTGCACTAAATTCCAGCACCACAGGTAGTTTCTTGCAGACCGATCTTTCTTTTATCTCATTATCTTCACCATATTGTTCCTTCTGGTTAAAATGCTTTTCCCCATGATGGTTCTTTTGGCTTTTCCTCATCTTTCAGTTCTCATTTAAGATGCCACCTCCAACAAAAGGCTTTCCTGAGAATCCAACCTTAATTAGTGAACAACCAGTATTCTCTTTCAAAATTCTGTTACTTTCCCATATAGCACTTAGTAGTGTTTGTTTGCTTCTGCGTTTATTGTTTCTTCCCTCTCTGGATTAGAAACTCCATGAAGGAAAGGATCATTGTTTTGTTCACAACACAATAATTAAAACCCAGCCTAGTACCTGACAATAAATATCTGTGAAGTGAGTGTATGCTAAATTTCTTGGCTCCAAACTTTTTGAGTCTTTTGAATTTTGAAAGATAAGTCTAGTCTTAATTTTTTTCAGATAAGATTTAAGGAAGGTATTTTTTGACTTGCAGTAAAATATTCTTTCATTTATACAATTTTATATTCATGCTTTAA